TATTTATGAATGTTTCGGAAAAATAACATATAATTTGCAAAATCTGTGTAGTGTAGAAAAATAAAACAATATATGCTTCTATTTAGGCTCAAAATGATAAATCGTGTGGACTACAAAAATTTATCTGACTCAATTCGTGATCAACAAGACTTGAAGGGGGAGGGGACATATATCCTTCTGTTTCAATATCAATTTTCTCTGAATAAGAAACTGATAGATTGTGAGCTCCGTGCCCTAAGTGTTATTGAAACACTTATCTGTTAAGAGATAAATGAGTAGTTGGTGGGGTTGTGACAAGAATTGGCTTGGGCTTTGCCTTTTTCAATATTAGTCTCCAAAGAATTGAGAACTAATAGATTACGTGGTATGCCCGGTAATTTGAAGTTTGGAACATGATTCTGTTTATTCTTTTGATCATGACACAACTCTCATCATTTCTTTTGTCTCACAATAACTACCCCTCTCTTTTTCATTTTAATCTCAACACACAAACCCATTTTGAGTTTAAGCTCACTCAGATATGGTTGTCCTCATGGGTAGGTTTGTCGGTTATGACATTCCATTGAGGTATTTTAGTTAAGCACTCAGTCCCTCCTAAAATTAGCAGTATGTTCATTTGATAAAAAATAGTTGATCAAAAATAGTATTGCAAATAAAACACAATGATCAGATAAAAATTGATCAAGATATTTGGCTTTTAAGCACAATCAATGAAGGAGTAATACACAAAATCAGATTATTCAATATGTGAGAGAAATAAATGAAGATCTGTAAGAACAAGTTTACAGATTCTGATATTCAAAGAATAATGGATGTGTATCAATCAAAGTAAAAAAATATATATATCAGAAAAACAACCTTTGAATACAAACGAGCGTATTATCACCAAAAATGATTTTCATTTTAAGAGACGTGATAATAACATTTTGAAGAAAGCTGAAACAGGTATTGGAATTATGTTCGATGAGAAATTACGCAAGTAAAATCTTAGGAAATACTTGCTAAGAAAATGTACTCGTTTCCATAAAAAATAGTTCACTTTCTGAAAAACATTTATTCAAAAATTTCTAGAGACTCCCCCTAGAAAATAGATTTGAGTAATATTTCGGTTCAACTCAAAAATAATAAAAAAATGGAAACATTTTTGGTACAGGTCCTGAACTGAGTATTCAGAAACCATAATGTTTAAGCATGAGTCCTAAACTGAATGTTTAGAAGCCTCAATTGGAACAGTATACAACTCCCCCTGCATTAGTACATCATAGACATGTTATTCTGATTAGCACTGTAATGACGCACCTGCAAAAACAGATCGAACGGATTTTAGTACCCAGACAAACTTGGGTCTTTCTTTGTTAGTATCAGGTTGTGGGATGTTGTAACTGCCAAACCATCTATTTTTATTAGATGTTTTCTTTTTTGCACTTTTAACAGGATGATCATATACGTAATAAGATCCATACTAGTTATTATTATCATACCTGTTATTATTTTTCCAGTTCTTCTGATATCTGTTGTCTCCATTCCACCTGTTGTACCGTTTCCTGTTCACAAAATCAGTTGTCTTGGCTAAGATTAATCAGATCATTAGTTGATCTCACAAAACAAGGAAGAACATTGTTAGTTACAACATAGTTACGAGACGAAACATATTCAACTTTATTGACCCAAATACTTTTAACTTTTGAAGAATGATAATTGGGTGATCCAATGACGTACCCTTGATAGTACTGATTTGAAGAACGAGAATAGTGTTAGAAACAATTGATTTAGGGCTGCTTGAATAACTGTTGGATTTATAACAGTTATCAAAGCTTGTTTTACACTGTGAAGGAGAACCAGTTGAACTTTGAGCACAAGAAAAGTCTTTAACTTTCTTTAAAAGCTGGTCTCGTTCATCAGTAACTAAATCATACTTCTCTTTGAGTTCAGTTCTCATTTTCAGTTCAGTTTCAAGTTCTGTCTTCAGATCAGACAATTTCTTTGTAGTATCCAAAAGCTTACTTTCTAACTCCTTCTTAAGCTTCTCAAACATCTTCTTCTCTTTATCAAACTCTATTCTCTCTTCATCTGAGCTGCTCTTTTTATTCTCAGAAGCAATGTCGAGCTATTTTTTCTTTTCTACAAGCTCTTTAGCCATTGCTGCATATTTCTTAGCAGTATTTCGTTTTTCAAGAGCAAACAACTTTTTCTCTTCGTCCAAAGCCTTCTGCTTTTGAGCAATGCAGTCAGATAGTTCTTGATTCTTGCTCAGATGTTCTTCTCTGATCTCTTTCTTCTCTTTATCTATCTTGGCTCGTTCCAAGATGATTAGCTGCTCAAAATCTGAGATTTGATTCAATAACATTTTAACGTTCAGTTCTAGAGAGTTGATCTTATTCTCATAAGATATGCGTTCAGTACCAAATCTTTTCTCTACTTCAATTATTCTCTTCTTCTCTTTCTCTATTTCTGTTTTTTCAACATTCAAACTCTTCTCAGCTTCTAGAACCTTTCTTTGTTCTAATTCCAGTAACTTCCTTAATTCAATCAAATCACATTCAGACTTATGAAGTTTCTCAGTGAAGTCCTCTGTCTCTGTATTATTTCTTCCAGAAGATTTTCTCTCAGCATTTAGTTCATTTTGAACTTTTTGGAGTTTATTAAATAAGTCTTTATTTGACTTACTCCATGTTTTTAGCTCTTCATCACACTCTTTTCTTACAGAACTCAGAGTGTTCTCAAGCTTTTCAATTGTATGCAAAAATTATCTTTCAACGTTTTCTCTCATTTTTGTATTCTCTCTTCTTAAGTCTTTAATTAAATCCTCATTAAGAAAATTCTCACGAACATATTGACATATTTTTCTTTGTACTCAAACAAACTTTCCTCTAGTTTAGAAATCTTCTCTTTCAATTCCCTGTTCTCCTTCTCAAGATAAACTGTCATTTCAAAATCAGCGATTGATCAAAGAATCTAATGCAATTAACGAAATCAATCAAAGAAATCACAAACAAATAAAATCTTTTAGATACAATTCGTAAGCTCAAAAATATCAGAAAAAACTCAGAAACTGTTGAGAAATCAGCAAATCAGCGAAACGGTTAAAAATCAGTAAAAATAGTCAAAAACTGTTAAAAACAGTCAAAAACAGTCAAAAACAATTAAAACTGATCAAAACAAGTTTACACGACACAAATCAGTTCAAAAAATTTCAAAACAGTTCAAATCAGATCAAAACAGTTAAATCCTAAAAAAATAGAAGTTTTAGTTAAAAAAGAAAAAATCTAGATAAAACCTGATTCAATACGAGAAAATGAAATCTGGATGGGCTAAGTAAACAAGAAAGCCCAAGAATGGTTAAACCTAAACCAAGTCTGTGTTGGGCTACAAATCCGTCTAACTCTGTACTTGAGCAGTTTTCCAAGGAATGAGTTCGGACAAGGAGTTAAGCGACCGAGGATAACCAAATCTGCCTATGTAAGGAGTTCTAATCCGCACAATCCTATGTGCGAGATTCTTGAGGCCGGATGCAAAGATTATCAAGAGCTAAATTGACTAGGCTGATTACCTATTTACACCTAAACCATGCAATGCAATAAGCGATAAAAGGCTGAATATAGTTAGAATGGTGTGCAATATATAAGAAACTCAGACAAGAAGGTGAGTTTTAAGCTATGTCCGGATAACAATGCCTACGATTTACTAAGTCCGGATGACACTACCAGCGATTCACACTTCAAATCCTGAAAGGTCTGTCCTGATTACACTGATTAATATGGCTAAGTATGACCCCTGCTGTCACTATGTGCGATGAAGACTTGGATCCGGGTGAAACTTTGGCAGATAAACACTCAAATCTGTCAAACCCTTGTACGATTTTCCATGAATACAATCAGAACTTCACGTGATTTAGATGAGAAATCGGACAAGTGAGGTCTGTGCGATGAAGATGAGTTGTAGGCGATTAAGATGAAAACCTGATGGGCTGTTGTGCGAAATCATGCTAATACGGATGGGCCAATTTTTTTTTTTTGCACGATATAGCCTAATCCGGATATGGGCTTGTAATTTGGACTTAAAAAAGATTCCAACTCCTGTAATCCAAACACAACAAAAAAACAAAAATTTCAATTTTATCATCCAAAATTAGATCAAAATCTGACTTTTTGAAAAAAAAAAAAATTAAGAACACAACTTTTTCAAAACCACAAATTTTACCAAATCATGAAATCGGATGATCAAATCATAAAATCGTGTGAATAACAAAGATTCACTATTCACATACGCACACTTTGATCCTGATTTTAACACAAAAACACAAAAATTTGAATTTTTTTTGGATCAAACACTTAAAAGAATGAAGAACATGAGATAACAAAATATTAACTTCAGAAAAAATTCTTCAAATTAGTTGATTTCTTCTTCTGATTTCTTGCATAACTCGCTCTGATACCAAATGTGAGTCCACGAAATGATCAATCTTCATAAATCTTCATAGAATCAATGGCAGATTTGTATTAGCATTCAAGAACAAATATTATCTTTCAAGATGAATACAATTAAACACTGAAATTTAGACCCAACAAACCTCTTCTTTTTTAGGTCCCTACTATGAAGGATCGCCAACCATGGAAGAAGAATACAACATGGCTGATGATGTAAAGCTGATTCTCCCAGTAGTAGAGATTATCTTGATCAAAATAGACCAAGTCCATAAAGACATGCCTCTAAGAGATGACCTTTCTTCTGACCTCTCAGCTGTCAAAGTGGAAGTCAATGACGTGAAGGAACTACTATCTGCGGTGCAAGCCGATGTCCGTATCAACGCTGAGGGTATCTCTGCTATCAATAGTAAAGCCGATGAAGCACAGGCTCAGCTTAACAAACATGGGGAGGTGATGCAACAGACACTTGATCTTCTTCAACGTCTAGTGCCAGTTCATGCACCCTCCTTCACAGTTGAGGATCACCTATCGCTGGATCAAGTGCTCGAACTTGGTCTTCTTCAAGCTTAATCTATGGCCGATCTTGAACAGCGAATGGATATCGCTGCTAAAAGTCTTGATAATCTCACCTCTTGTTTTGCTGATAACAAAGAGAAGGAGAAAGACTTAGCTGCTGCTGTCCATACAACACCAGCTGATGCTGATGCTCAAGTTGAAAGAGCTGAAGCAAATGAAGCTGATGCCATCACTTTCCATGAAGTTGAAGTTGTTGCTGAAGATGAGGAAATTGATGATGCTGTCAGAGCTGATGCTCAAGACGAAGACCTTCCTATCACCTCTGCAGTTGATGTTGGCGATAAAGAAGGTGAAGATGAAGACGATGATGATGACGATGAAGCTGATGATCCTCTTTCCTTTCCTGATGCTAAAAAAGATCTTGGTGATGATGATGATGATGACAACGACTTCACTATTCAATACCACACCAAACCAGCTACTGCTCTAAAAGGCGTCTCTTTTAGGGAATCTTCATCCCAGGGGGAGAAGGAGAAAGAAAAAGAGAAGGAGACATCTCTAAAGAACCAAAACACCTCCTCCAAAGACAAAGGTGTTGCTGAAAAAGGAAACCTGAAAGTTCTCTTCAATCCTATCAATCCGTAAGGGTATGCTGAACCATTCAGGGTTGCCATCGTCACTCTCTCCATCAATTCTCTTCTACTATTCCTTCTACTACCTGTGGTCATCTAGATGAATGGGTACCCGAAAACCCAACTTCTAGTGTTCCTAGCGACCAATAGATGACTCAGCTCATGGAGTTACTCAACCAAACTAGAGTAAAAATTCCTCTTCATACATCTAGTTGTGGTGAGTTCGACTTCCTTACAAAAGCTGAAAGACTCGAAGCACTCAAGGTTGAGGAAGAACTCGAAATTCAACGACAACAGACTGATGACAGCCTCAAGCTGGCTAAGTATCTTGCTTCTCAAGTTCTTCCAAAGAAAATGTCTAAAAAGATGGTGATTGCTGTCAAGGCCTAAGCTAAATTGCTCTCAATTGCAGAATCTGAACGTCAAAAAGCAATGAAGCTGAATGATCGAGACAAGAAATGGAGTGAAGATGAACTTAATAAAAGAATTAGTCCTCATGGCATCACTAACGTCACAATCAGTGTCATAAGAAAGATGGTGGAATGATTATCTCCATGCATATTATCATAGACAACCTTGACTCTGTTATCGAGTACCCTGCCTACCTTGGACTATACGACTATGAAGAATGGCTAGAAATCCTCCAGGCCATTCAACGCTCAAAGTCAAGGCACAAGCCAATAATTGAAGACATCATCAGTGAGCTGATCAAAAAGATGTCCAAATTTGTTGATGTACCTACAAAGCCGACGTTGAAGAAAGGTGGAAGAAGAAATCCTTCAGATCCTAATGATAGACCAACTCTGAGGAATGAATATGAAATAAAGTTCTCCCTAGAGGAAGTCCTAAAGGATTCGAAGAATCAAGACATCTTTATGCTAAATCTATCTTTGGTAGTGAAGGGTCCTTACACACCCAACTCTGTGCACCTAAAGCCTGAGTTTGGATTCATATTCTTTGACTATGATGGCGAACACAGCTTTCAAAGAGTGTCTGAGCCCCATCTCTATCCTATAGAACAACTTGATTGTCTAAGATAATGGTTGGACAATGACCTTTATGGTGAGATGATAGACCACAAGATTAGAAAAGAATTTCTACGTCGAAAGATGCTTGGAGAAGAAGTACCTGGTTACATCGACTTCAGCGACCTAGATTAGTTAGAACTTATATGTACTTGGTTGGACAATGACCTTTATTGTAAATTTTATCTTTCATTGTAAATCTTATCTTTCTATGTGTTTTTCTTTAGTGTACAACTTCTAGGTAATAAGTCTAGAATGTACTGTTGTAACACTTGTATTCCTCCTTTTGAATAATATCAGTATTTCATCAGTATCACTGAAAAAGATCCCTAAAAAGAGTAATAGGGACACATGTCTATGAGTTCCAGTAAGCTCTGACATTCACTGACAATCTTCAGTCAGTGAACATGCTTACAGTTTTAATTTCCCTTCTTGTACTTTTTCTTAAACTTGTAACTAAGAAAACTTATATAGTAAAAACTGTATCACTGAAAAAGATCCCAAAATAGTTAAAAGGGACATGTACTTTACGTGTAACTTTTCCTTACTATTATACCATAAAGCAACTTTCTTTATGCTGCTTTGTCATCATCAAATAGGAGGAGATTGTTGATCCTCTCTCTCATTGATTTGATGATAATCTATTTTACCTATCGAAGTATTATGTTTCTGTCTATTTAGTTCTAGTAATCATCACTAAGTCTATTAAGTGATCGCTGAAACATGTCTTGTAATCCTACAGCGACAACTATACTTCATGAAGGCAAAACCCACACCTAAGAACCTTCAGTAAATGTCGAAAACTGAAACTGAATAATAGTGACTAGCACGTTCATGATCTGAAGCGGTATTCAGTGATTACAACCGGGTCAACATTTGTGTGAAGACTGCACAAGCCTCAGTGAATGTTGAAGAAACCTCCAGTGTTATTCCAGCATTCAGCGATCAAATGAAGCTTTCCATGCATGTTTTTTTTGTCTTGTCCTTCCATACACAAAAGACAAACTCATACTCTCTCAGTCTCTCAAGGAGCCGATTAGTCGACTCTAGTGTCTACCAACTCCATGAAAAGATGTCTGTTCATGAATAGACAATAGTACTATTCACCGTAGGAAAGGACAGGTTTTCCTCTAAAAGCTTTACACGTGTTCTACCTTCTGAATTGCATTTAATACAATGGATATAAATAATTGAGTTTTCTCTTCACTCATGCAATGTTGCCATACAAGCAAGTTAGAATTTCTATCTAAATTCTAAGACACATACCCATGAAGAACACACCTCTGTCTTATCTATTTCGACAAATCTCTTATATTTGCTAAGTGCATTTGTGTGTATTTCTAGATTGTTTTAGATAAGTTTTTCTTTACCTTGTCTATTTCGCAAACAATCTGTAAAAAAATCTGTATTGATCCCTCTTTATCAATATATATTTTTAAAAATGAAAGTTACTATGTTTGTGTTCATCCCCCTTCTACAAACTGATCACCTCTAAACTCTTGTAAATCCGGCTGGGACCAACAGGTTGATTTCTTGATATTTCTTCTTTCTCATTTGATAGATCATAAAATTTTATGAAAGAACAATAATTATGTGAACTACGAGGTAAAACCGACATTGCAAGAGAACAACATAACAATGTGCAACTTCAAATGATTGGTACACCGATCACAAGTTGTAGAGCCTTTCAGCCATTTAATTATGGGGTATTTTATTCATTAATTCTTAATTTAATTTTTTACTATAAGTTGATTTGTAGTAAAGTAGATTTCTATGTTGGTACTTGATATAGCAGGTTTTATGCTCTCTTCCTCGCCCCTTTGTTCATAAATCAATTTTCATGTTGACTTTTTTCTTTAGTTTGTGGTAGACAAGTGTATAGTTTGTTAATCTAATTAAAAAGAATTTAGTTCTTACATATAAAGACATTTTCTTCTATTCATTGATGGAAAATAGGTCGAACATGCAAATATATTTTGACCATCTTATTAGTGACATATATCTTGCTGAAGCAATTGCTACCCTGAACTTAGGTCAAGTTCTAGGGGCTACTATCTAATATAATTAGTATAGGTCATATGTGTGTTGCACGGTAATGATAAATTTTTTAAGGAAGTACTTAACCAAGTTAACATAAAATGTACTTCTTCAGTTAATAACTAATGAGATACAATTTAAAATGAAGAATGTATTTCCATAAGTGATTCATGTTCATATATTGATAAACCATGTGTTGCGAAGAGTTTTAGATGTATCAGTAAGAACTTTGTTGTTATGTTATTTAGAACTCAAAGAACATGTCACACAACCATATCAATATTGTTGTTACAAAGGATTTGAAGAATTTTTTTCTTCCAAAAAATGGTTCGACTAAAATTAACCAACTCTATGAGTTGCCACAGATAAGCATCATCTCTTGAAAAAACAAAATGTTGGAAGATATAGTTGTGTATATGTTTTAAAGGGTTATTGATATACATTGAGAATTCAATGTATAAAGCACTCATTTTCCAAGTTCTTAGCTAGATTGTTATTCTTTTATCCCTGTATTGAGTCATTTTATTATTTCACTTTTTCTTTTACTAATTATGGAGCTAAACTATGTGATTTACTTGTTTCTACACCATGTGGAGTCTAATATGAAAAATTATTGGACTGTTTGACGCTACAACATTCATGCAGCTATGACCTGATGCTTTTTGGCTTAATGAAGAACTTAATGGAATAAGCTCTTGGCTCTTTTTGTTTCTAAAAGACTTAGAGCTGAAGATTTTTGGTGTTTAAAATTGTTAAACTTTTGTTAGGAATTATGTAACTATCTAGTTTCTCTAAGTGTGCTTTAGGTTAACTTTAGGAAGCTTTGCCCTCAAGTTTATCTATTTTGTCGTTTTGTGCCATATTTTTGTATAAAGGGGGGGGGGGGTCTTGTTTTGAGCATGCAAAAATCAGCTTCTAAAGCTGATTTCTCTCTATAAACGTTGAAGAAATTTAAGTTTCTTAATTGCTTTTAAGATTGTTCTTTACTTTCCGTGATTTAATTTCATTTATTTACTTTCCACTCTTTTATTTTTCCGTTATTTACATTAAGTCATTTACTTTCAGCAATTTATTTATGTCTTTATTTTTCGTTATTCATTTTACTTGTCATTTACTTTCCGTTATGAGTAGCTAATTTCATAGCTTGGGTGTGAGACAAATGGTGAGATATTAAACCGAAAGAAAGTAGACATTGTTTTGCAATAACAACGGTCCACTATTTTATTCAAATTTTTATAAAAAACAATGACACTTCTTGACAAGTTGATCACTTATAAAGTGTTAAAGTGCCATGGTCTTAGAGATAACGTCAACTTGAATGATATGAAAGGTAGACTTGAGAAAGTTGCTGACAAGAAAAATTGTCATTTAAATCGTTCAAACTAATTAATTTCAACAGGTTGGTCACTTGTGAAAGTGTTAAAGCGCGGTAGATTTAGAGATGAACTACCGGGAACACACGCCAACTTGAATGATATGGGAATCGACTTGAGAGAGTGATTTTTAACAAAAATATTTGCTTATCCATATATTTTGAGAACACCATTCGTCACTATCCCTGGTTCATATACCACATAGAGATATTGGTTGGAAGCTATAGTATAGTGCAATGGTGAAAGTTCGTGAGGAATACCCTCAAAATAGATTGTGGAACTAAGTTATGACTAACTGCTTGTTGTAGCATCCCTACATCATTGTATACTAGAATTCGTGTTTGAGTCTCACCACAAGTCTTACACCCATGCTACCTTTGTTCATTTAATTATTTGCATTTATTAGTTCAACAACAAATCAAAGACTTCAAATTCGCAATCTGAAGTTAGTCTTTCAACTCGATATCTTGCAACTTAAGATACCTATCCCTATAGAATACGATACTTGGTTCTACCATTTTATTACTTGAATGCGATAGTGTTGACATGTGTATACTTGCATGTGTTACCACATAGTG